TGATCCAACAGCTGTCTGGTGTTGCTCTCGATGTGTCGGTACATCCGCTTTAGCCGGACAGTGTTGAACGTTGGACTGATGGTGGTGCGGATGTTTTTCCAATGTTCATCTGTGGAGGAAACAAGTAAACCGGTTCTTGATCTTTTCAGACGAGGAGAAGGACGAAAATGTGTGCATGACTGGGAAAAGTGCCCACATGTCGCAGGGGCTTATTTAGAGAAAATTCGGAAAATAGTAAAAAATCTTACTTTTTGGAAATTTGAGACTCGTGAGGATGTCAACTCATTAATCATGTTTCTCCATCCTCACAAATTATTTCTGGCCAAATTTTCTTCTAATCATGTTTTTAAAAGCTTTAAAAATACATGTCCATTACGTAACATTACGAAATAGCGTTGATTTTTTGTGGTTGACGCCAAAATGACACCCTCATTTAACGGACTCTTTCGTCAAATTGATGAGAGATTGAGAAAGGAACAGTCGGGATTTCGACAGGAGCGATCATGTACAGATCAACTGTTTATTTTTAGAAATATTGTAGTAAAACAAAGCAAAGAATGGAAAGTTCCAATTATTTTGAACTTTGTGGACTTTAAAAAAACCTTTGACAGCGTAGACCGAGATTCCGTATATGGCATCCCAACAAAATTAATAAACTGAATAAAATCATTATTATACCAAAGCAGGCTGCTGTGTCCTAGTTGAAGGAGAACTATCTACACCAAAAGCTGGTGTTAGACAAGGCTGTATATTATCACCTGAGTTTTTTGGAATTGTAAGCGATTTCGTAATGAGACAGAGCAAAGACATTGAAGTAGGTATTGGATGGACATACGGCTCGTATTTAGGAGATATATGGGACGGAGTGGTGAAATCAGGCTCTCGTCAATTTTTGGGCATGTAGAGCTATTGGTATCATTTTAAAGCTTGTTCACTTGTCTTTATTTGGATGAAAAATATCCATTTATCTTGAATACAAGTCTAGATATTTGCGAAAGAAGGAGGTGGGGGTCATTCGTTTTCAGAGGTAAAATAAGTGAGAAAATGGCCGCCAAAGATTAGTTATTTCCTTAGCTTAAGAGTCCGTGATAACTGTACATTTACATTTTTGTGCCTTTAATCAACGTTTTTCAGAAAATCCACACAGAAATGAGTTCTTTAATGGACATGAAAGGTGCCAAGCCAAAAAACAAAAAAAGTGAAAAAAATTCACAAATCTGCGGAAAAATGCAAGTTTCTTCACTTTGATTATTTTGACGAGAGCCTGATTCCACCACACTGCCTCATAGATTTTGCGTATGACATCTGCGCAGTAATAATAAATGATAATAATAATAATAATAATAAATAGCAATTGTATATCGCAAATCCCCGCTCAACGGCAAGCTCTATGCGCTCTGCAATCTATACTATTACCCCAGCAGACCTGAGAGCATTCTGAAACAAACTCAACTTCCTGGGAAGCATACATTGCAAGTAGCCGTTTATAGGCGCTAAGGCACTAACATACTGACAAAATCTTTCTGTCTTTGGCTAGGTACCTATTCCCACGTGGGTGAAATGAGAAAAATTCATGTAAAATGTCTTCCCCAAGGACACAAAGTCGAGCCCGCGGCTCGAACCCCCGAACCTGTAACCTCACTATAACGAGTCCGGTAGCCTAACCACTAGGCTATCGACGCCACAGTACTTGAACTGCAATATAAAAAAAAAAGCAAACAAATAAGAAAAAGCTGCGGAAAAAGTTGGCCTTATAATAAATGTACCTGAAATAGAAGTATTACAACTATCATCAGAAACTACGTCTATCACTCTTGATGGACAGACCCTTAAATGAATGAGTAAATTCTAGTACCTTGACAGCATTATATCAAAAACTGCAAACTGCCTTGACCAAAGACTTTAAAATACCTGGATCACTTTAGTGAAATTAAAAAATAAATGAAAGTTAAAGATCATTTCATTGAAGACGAAACTGAAAATATATAAACGCAATATTTTGTCCGTGTTAACGTATGGCTCAGAGATATGGAAAACAAAACAGTTCAAAAAAATTTAGAAGCATCCAGACGAAATTTTAATTTTTACGAAAAATTTTACTTATGTAATGGAATTAATTTATTACAAATAATGAAGTATTTGAAAGAGCTGGAATTGCAGATATCAACACGACCATAAATAGGAGAAGATGGCGACATCTAGGACATGTTATCAGAATGCCAGAGACAAGATTGCCCTATTAGACATGGTATTGGAGACCAACTGGAAGCTATAGAGGCCCAATAAGAGATGAAGCAATCACCCAGACCCTGGATGTGCCCAAATTGGAGAAAGTGGCTAGGGACAGGCAAGCGCAGAGTCGACTACTCTCCGCCTTATGTACCTGATCGTATAGGCAGAGAGGAAGTAAGTAAGTTAGTCATATAGGAGGAGGAGGAGGAGGAGGAGGAGGAGCAGGAGAAGGAGGAGAAGAAGAAGAAGAAGAAGAAGAAGAAGAAGAAGAAGAAGAAGAAGAAGAAGAAGAAGAAGAAGAAGAAGAAGAAGAAGAAGAAGAAGAAG